GGTCGCGTCTTTACTTCACTTGCCTACAGCGGTACCAGTCCACACAGGCCCGACTCTCACAGATTATGTGTCGTGAGTTACGCCACTTCCCTCTAGCGAGTGATTCCAAAAGTAAATCGGAAGTATAAAAGTGACATACCAAGATAACTAAATGCTACTCTCTGATTGGCTAAACAACAGTAAGACAATTGATCGTGTCGTGTGAGTGTCCACACAAACACTATGGGTTACGACTGCATCCGACTACGACTGAACATGCTCAGTCGGGCCGACGGGCCACGACGCGACGGAAAATTGATTGAATCGTGGTCATGGGACTGTCCGCACTGATTATCTGAGACAAGACGTTGCGTTGGGTAGAGTCTGGGCAAGTCGTGGCGATGTGGGCCAGACTTTATGTAGCTTAGCTTTTCTTTCAGTTGAGAGATAATAGTCTAATCTAAAGCACGGGATATAGGGGTGGTACTTTTTACCACCGCCAACTACCGCCGACCAATACTTTTACCACCGGCCGTCGTGAAATTACCGCCGACCAAATACTTTTTACCGCCGACCATAATATAATTACCGCCGACCAAACACTTGTTACCGCCGACCAAATGCTTAATGATTCCTTGTCACTGCCGACTATATAAAATTAATTAAATTATTAATGACAAATAAATAGATTTGGTTAAATACACAGAGTTTGATAAAAATATAGATTTTATTATATATAAATATGGTCGACAACCCTAACCTTCGCACTAATAGAAGATAGGCCTAAAATGTTATTTATTTATAACCAGTAGCTGAAACAATCTTGATATTTTTTTTATTTGCCCTTCAATATCTAAATTGTAGTTTGTCCTTCCATATTCTTTAAAATATATATGAATGTTTTTCGACAGTTGTACGTGATTACACCTCAAATAAAAATTAACATTCTTGTATTCTTTTTTATAAAAAAACAACAACCGTAAAATAGTCGGCGGTAACAAGGAATCATTAAGCATTTGGTCGGCGGTAACAAGTAATTATATTACGGTCGAAAGTCATTACAATGCGGTCTGCGGTAAAAAGTATTTGGTCGGCGGTAATTACACGACGGTCGGCGGTAAAAAGCATTTGGTATTCTAATTGTCTTCAGAGCTCCATGCCAGATGGTTAACCTTTAATACTAATAAGTCTGCCATTGTACTCATTGTGTTTCATGAACAGTCTAGAATCTGTCAACATGGCAGTCAAAAAGCTAAAACCACTTTCTACTGTGTAATACCAATTGACATTAAAAGCTGAGACAGAAGACATTTGGAAACCACTACCAGAATAATATTTTCTTACTGTCCACTTTATATCTTTCCACTTCCTCTTTAATGTGAAGGTATATTGTCGTCGCCCCTGTCCGTCGGTCCACAATTTGTTTGTGGACACTCTACTGGTCACAATTTTTATACGCCCACATTTGATGAAACTTGAAATGCATGTTTATAACCCAAAGACCTTGGTTCCTTTCGATATTGGCGCATATCGGATCGTAACTTTATGAATTATGGCCCCTGATTGTACGAAAAATCACGTTTTTCACTGGTGGTCCCTCTAGAGTTCACAATTTTTTATCCGATTTTACCTGATTGTACGAAAAATCTTGTTTTTAGCTTGTGGACACTCTAGAGGTCACAATTTTCATCTGATTTTGATGAAACTTGAAATTCATGTTTATAACTCAAAGATTTTGGTTCCTTTCGATATTTGCGCATATCGGTCTCAAATAGCGTAAAAATATGGTATATCAAGGTTGTGGACCCTATAGAGGTCACAATTTTTATCCGATGGCCGCCGTTCATTCTCAAATAGCGTAAAAAATATGAATTATGGCCCCTGATTGTACGAAAAATCACGTTCTTCACTAGTGGTCCCTCTAGAGGTCACAATTTTTATCCGATTTGACCTGATTGTACGAAAAATCTTGTTTTTAGCTTGTGGACACTCTAGAGGTCACAATTTTCATCTAATTTTGATGAAACTTGAAATTCATGTTTATAACTCTAAGATTTTGGTTCCTTTCGATATTTGCGCATATCGGTCTCAAATAGCGTAAAAATATGGTATATCAAGGTTGTGAACCCTATAGAGGTCACAATTTTTATCCGATGGCCGCCGTTCATTCTCAAATAGCGTAAAAATATGGTATATCAAAGTTGTGGACCCCATAGAGGTCACAATTTTTATCCGATTTTGTTGAAACTTGAAATATAAGTTTATAACCCAAAGATCTTGGTTCCTTTCGATATTTGCTCATATCAAATTGTAATTTCCTGAATTATGGCCCTTGATTGTAGGGAAAATCACTTTCTTTTTAGCTTGATATCTATCCATCTCTCGAAAATGTGGGCGTATCCTGCCTGGCAGTCGCTGGTTTTTGTTACTAGACCTATTCTTTCCAAATAAATTTTTCCACTGAAAATTTGTTGTTTTGTCTTGCTATTCATATTAAGGTGAAATTTCAGGGTAAATATTCATCATTTAATTTCATGATACAAATTTGTTAGGTTTCTTTGAAATAGCATGTTTTGATTTTCGATGCTGGTGTCATTTAAGTGGAATCATACTGCAATTTCAGTGGATAAGCTTACATCTTGTAAATATTATTTGTAAAATTCTCTTTCGGCCTATATAGACACACCACATTATTAATTATGTGTACATTTTATACATGTGACATGTGTCATAATTTTTATCCGATTTAAAAAAAAACGTATTATTATATCACCGTTACACCCTAAGGATGACTGAGTTCGAATTTCGTGAAAATCAGATCAAAATTGACAGACAAAATGGCCGCCGTTCGTTCTCAAATAGCGTAAAAATATGGTATATCAAGGTTGTGGACCCTATAGAGGTCACAATTTTTATAAGCCCACATTTTCATGTGGACGTATATTGTCGTCGCCCCCGTCCGTCCATCCTTCCACAATTGTTTGTGGACACTCTACAGGTCACAATTCTCATCCGATTTTGACGAAACTTGAAATATAGGTTTATCTCCCAAAGATCTTGGCTGCTTTCGATATTGGCATGTATCGGATCGAAACTTCATGGATTATGGCCCCTGATTGTACGAAAAATCACGTTTTTAGCTTGTGGACCCTATAGAGGTCACAATTTTTATCCAATTTTGTTGAAACTTGAAATGTAAGTTTATAACCCAAAGATCTCGGTTCCTTTCGATATTTGCGCATATCGGAGCGTAACTTCCTGAATTAAGGCTCCTGATTGTTCGAAAAATCACGTTTTTAGCTTGTGGACCCTATAGAGGTCATAATTTTTATCTAATTTAAAAAAACGTATTATGATATCACCGTTACACCCTAAGGACGACTGAGTTAGAATTTCGTGAAAATCGGCCCAAAATTGACAGACAAAATGGCCACCGTTTGTTCTCAAATAGCATAAAAATATGGTATATCAAGGTTGTGGACCCTATAGTATAAAGGTCACAATTTTTATCCGATTTTGTTGAAACTTGAAATGTAAGTTTATAACCCAAAGATCTCGGTTCCTTTCGATATTCGCGCATATCGGACCGTAACTTTTGATTTCGTGAAAATCGGCCCTAAATTGACATACAAAATGGACGCCGTTCGTTCTCAAATAGCGTAAAAATATGGTATATCAAGGTTGTAGACCCTATAGTTTATAACCCAAAAATCTTGGTTGCTTTTGATATTCGGCATATTGGACAGTATCTTCCTGAATTATGGACCCTGATTGTACGAAAAATCACGTTTTTAGCTTGTGGACCCTATAGAGGTCATATACCTGAAAGATACATTATGGGAGATAAGATCAAGAGATAGCAGTTCTCACTATAATAGTTAAAAACTAGATAGTGTAAAGGTAATTTGATGAAAATTTCAGTCAAATTGATCCACCATGAGAGCCTGTCCGCGAGAGCACCATGCAGAGGGTGATAATGGTTGGGTCAGGGATTTGTACCAATTTTTTTCTGTGAGATGGGTTAGTACCCAGATACATCCCCACAAAATATTAGATTGATTCAGTTGATACCGACCTGGTAAACTGAATTAATATATTTCAATAGAAATATAAGCAAAATATGAGGCATTTTGGCACCAAATTTAGATGACCTGTTATTTGGACAATAATTGATTTGCGCCGACAAAATTTTGATCATTGGTAGGATCCAGTAGGCCCTTCTAATACATTGAGTTTTAAGTTTCTACTGCAATTGATACCGTGTTACTGGCCAGATACACAACTCGCTCTTAAAATTGAATTTAATGAAAACCAAAGTTTGAGAGGCTATAGCTCCTTGGCAGGGACTAGGACCAAAGTTGAATGTTATCCACACCTAGCCACCTTCCTACTAACAAAATAAAAAATAAAAATGACCGGCACTGTCATATTCAACACAGGAGAAATAAATTAAAAACACGGAAAATTGGAATATATATGAACATCTTTACAATTTTTTAAAAATATATTCTATTTCATCGATGATTTGGACTTGAGACCGAGAGAGAGAAAAAAAGGGGTTTAACAGCCACTGGACACAAACTACCCCTGTGAAAATACACACTGAAATTTCACTGAAATTTCAGTGAAATCTCACTGAAATTTTAGTGAGAGATTTGGTCAAAATATTATTGAAATTTCAGTGAGATTTCAGTAAAATTTCAGTGAAATTTCAATAAAATTTTGACCAAATTTCTGTGAAATTTCAGTAAAATCTCACTGAAATTTCAGTAAAATCTCACTGAAATTTCGGTAAAATCTCACTGAAATTTCAGTAAAATCTCACTGAAATTTCAATAATATTTTGACATCTCTCACTGAAATTTCAGCGAGATTTCAGTAAAATCTCACTGAAATTTTACTGAAATCTCACTGAAATTTTACTGAAATCTCACTGAAATTTTACTGAAATCTCACTACTATTTCAAAGTCTTTATTAACATGCATTCTGAAAAAAAACCTCCAAACAATTGCAATATTACTATTATCCCTCATATTTCTGTATTCCGTCTTCTAAATTTTCTTTTTCTTCTAGTGTTGTCCTTTTCTTCGATGATAATAAAAATATATGGCCTGAAATGACACAATCAAAATAATATTAAATAAAGATAGGCATGTGCCATGCAGTGTGCTGTTAGAGCATTCAGCTCAGCAGTTTCAAAATTATCCTGTCAAAAACAAAGCATATATAAATTTTGGGATAAATGTGCATCGGCTGTCACCAGTGGCAGGCATTTACTTCTGAATACACAAGGTTATAACCCTGATAATTTACTCTTAAAATATATTTTTAGTGGATCCGTAATATATATACACAGAACCGTTTTACCTTATTTTTGAAAAACTAAACATAGCCAGGTCACACAATTTGCATGACGAAATTAATTTACCAATACATATACTATAGCCTGATCTACTAGAATTAAAACAACTATACTCACCATGGCTGGTTTTGAAAATACGCCTTATCAGTACATCCATTTTATAATTAACTACTTCGAAATTTATCCATATAATCCAAAAATTTACGTGCACAATAAACAGTTCTATGACAAGCACAACTGTATTATAAATTACGCGCCTATTTTCCAGGAATTTCAACATTTGATTAAAAATTCGGAAGCCTTTAGCGAAACGGTGAAAAGAACTTAGGTTAATTAAGCCTGTTAATCTGTTTAAATAGCGACACCGGTTTATCAATTTAGTAATTTAACATGCACGCGAGGTCATTTTTTTTGCATGAGAGTTTCATATAATTTACAACCATTACAGAATTAAAAATTCCTTCGTTTGTTTTCCATTCCAAAATTTTTAAAAACAGTGCCTGTAACTCGACACCCTTGGAATCTCAGCATCATTGACATAGGACATTGTTTACGCTAATCGGCTACCTCAAAATTTGAATTTAAAATGAGTTAGGTTTATTCTCTCTTTTCACAATAAAATAGGTTGATTTCAAAACATGATTATATTAATTGATCGTAAAATATTTACCGTAAATGAAATTTACGGGTGCCGTAATTGATGACCTCGTTTCCAAGTATGGCTATTGAAACACGTGTGTTACGTTTCATAGCCATTCTATCCTAATACAATGATTATCGGAGCATATCGGAAAAAATTTTGATGTTGAGTCATTCATAAGTTTAGACATCATTTTAAACATGCACGTGTTCATGGATAACGCACGGTGATGGGCGAATAAAATAAACGTCAATGAAATTGTCTACTTCAGGAAATAACGTGATTAATTAATGGAAATTAAAAACATTTCGTCTTCTGACACTATTAGGCTATAATTTCGAAGTGCTCTCTAAGTACAAATCATTATATGCAGTTATTAAAATATTTGCAATGAAATTTCAGTGTCATTTTCTCTGGGGTAGCCCATTTTGTGACTAACATATGGTGATGCATAAGTATGGCCATTTTTACAAAATTGATATATTCTATTCAGTTGTTAGACATGATTTTGACTTGAGAAAGAGATAAATGAGGTTTACGGTTCACTCAACACAAACTAGGTCATTTTGGGACTAACATGGTACAATTTTATTTCAGTAATTCACTTGCGTGAAAAGAGAAAATCCACGAGATTGGGCAGACAACACTACACCATTCACTACACCACTCAATGACAGATCTTATGATCCAAACAAATGTGTAAGAACTCTCTTGACTTGCCATGGGGCATGTTTCATGAATGTTTAATGCAATTTACACAGAATAAATCTTATTTGAATACGATGTATAGTACAGTTCTGAAACGGCAGATTCAAGAGACTACATATTATAATTTTAATTATGTATCCAGTTCTGAAATGACAGTTTCTCTGAGGCGACATCTATCAAGCACTGATGAAACAAGTTCAGTTTGATCACCGTTGACATCCTTTTCCTGATTCAGTCTGCCGCATTTTTTGAAATGTGGCAAGTCTGGAAAAATAACTAGTGACTTGGCGAGCTGTCAACCAGTACTCATGTGGAAACTGTTTTAGTTTCTTTACAACAGTCTGTGGATTTTCCTTCCTCCCAGTCTCTACACCTTTCATAAACTCCTTATAAACGTATCCCTTCACATTGTCAGAGAGTCGCTTATACGTACTGGTCGTTTTCAAGGCCCATCCAGCGGAGAGCGAAGGTTCATCAACAGTACTAGTTTCTGGTATAGTCAGTGTCACTGCCTGAGCTTTGGAGGAAACACCCGTTACTATGGAAGCCCATTTTTGGGCAATTGCATCGAATTTGGAGTCCATTGTTGTAGTACGACTGTGACTCCCCAACGACAGATGCATTGTTATTTCGGTTTCAGTTCTGAATGATTTAGTGCACCCTTCTTCAGAACAGTAGAATCTACGATTATCCTGTCTGGAGCCAGTCGTCCCAGATTCAACACTTGGTATACTATACTCAGATGTTTCGAATCTAGCCCCCCCCTGAATATCCCCCTTTCTCACCAGTTTATCCATTTTGAATACTTTTCCAGGTCCAATTTGGTATGCTTTCCATACGCAAATTTCATTTTCCCGAAACTCAAAGTCTTTGTATGTAGTAATTCCAGGTCATGTCAGTCTGTCTACCATCTGTTTATCATGATTTATTTTCATAACTGAGGGTAAGGCGCTGGCTCGCTAGCCTGGAGGTCAGGTGTTCGATCCCTTCATTGGCCGAGAAAGTTCATCCAGATTTTCCGGCGTGGTTTCCCCTTGTCAGTGATGCAGGACGGAGGGCCTGACAAGGACAGCTGTCTAGTCATTCGGATGAGACGAAAAACTGAGGTCCCGTGTATACATTGGCGTGCACGTAAAAGATCTCTTGACAGTTGGAATTCGATATAAGAGTAGGCCGTAGTGCCGCTGTCCGGGCAAAATTTCCCTCATAGCACACTGTATGGCGTATGCCCGTCTTCATTAGCCCAGTTCGGAGCAAAACAGTAGGACGTTAAACCCCATTTCATTTCATTTCATAACTGAGGTGTAACACCCTCTAATTCCACCTTAGCTTTGACAGCCTACAAACATGTCATTCGCATTCTGTATATCATAACCTTCGTTGATGTACCTTTGTAGATGAGTTTTCAGAGAAGCAATCTTTCGATCACATATGTCCTTTCCCGCTTGGGACTCGGAGAAATCGTATCGTGATATTACGATATTATTTCGTTTTGCAAGTGCTGGCATAGACAATAGCAATGCGGCGCAATGATAACAGCCGGCATTGTCCGATCTAAGAAACAAGGTATTCACTTCCGGAAGTTTTATTTTCATCTCCAAAATTGTAGCTTCTAATATTGTCAGGACGCTGATCCAATTTTGTGTACAACTATCTATAAGGTGTACGAATGCATGTATATGATACTGGTCACTTGACCGCGTAACAACTGCAGTAACGTGCCAGGAAATACCCCTTTTAGCATACCAATCTTGCTGTGATTCGCGAAATCGACTAGGTAAGAATTTCATGGCCCAGTCAAATGTAATGTGAGCTTCATTTGGAGCGAGATTTTGCAAAATATCGGTTTTGCCTCGTTCCTGGTTTACACTTCTCACTATATGAGATTTCAGGGCTAGAATTCTGTCTTTCGCATTTTGGAAGTCATGAACCAATTCTTCCCTTTGTCCATCATATCTAAAAATGATCTCTTTATCATTTATGGCAGTGTCTATTTCACGGATAACAGTTTGTAACCGATGACAGTTTGAGCAGGAGATATTATGGCTATGACCACAGACTGGTGATTCTGATAAACTGTAACTGAGACAGTGATCCGCGCATGTGGATGTTTTAGACAAATGGAGCTTATAGTCAGTCTTCAAGTAAACCTGTACATATTTTATATTTGCAACAATGTTCTGTTCCCATGCAGCAGATTTTCCACTTTCAGACAATGTTTTGCAAATGGACATGTAAGTTTTCGAATGCTTCCGCGCGATCTAAAATCAAGAAAGTGGTCCACTTTGGTGTCATCTAGACGAGAACGGCAGATAGGATGAAGTTTGACGGGCTGGGCTTCTCCAACATCACAAGCATGTTTTCTAGCCTGATCTATGCGATATGCTGTGAGTCCTGGAATTAATTGCATCAGCTCTTGCTTAGTTTTCTTTTCAGCCAAAGAAAAAAGTATCTGTCTCTTCACAAACCAGGACGATGCGTCATTGGAACACTTGATTAGAGTTCCGAGTATATCAGTTTCCCCCGGAGTATTTCCACATTCCTTAGATTCTAATAAAGCCATCAAATCATCTTTCTGTCCAGGTGCTATATAATGTAGTGCTAAACTAATTACCTCCTTAGTTTTTCGCTTATAATATCTTACAGTGCTAGGTTTTGCCGTTTCAACAGGTTTATGCAACTGACTTGATCGTATCCTGAATTTCGTAGAAAGTCATTTAGAATAGAAAGGCTTTTATTCCTAGGACCAGGAGTAGGTGCCCATGATGCATCCGCCACAGTTGTTGATTTTGAAGTGCTATCCAAAGATGACGTAGGTGATGATGAACCACTAGAAAGTTGAGGTATAGTAAATGCTGGTATCGGAGAGTATTCCTCACCAGTATAACATGATGTTGAAGCTTCTACTGGTTGAAATGGAGTGGAGTGTAGGACTTGCTCAGTGTCTGGTGACGGAACATGTGCTTCTGAATTAAATGTTGCTTTATGGCCATCTACACAAGTACGGCAAATACCTAGAATATAAAAGTTTTGATAATATATATATTCAATCAAATATTGGCTGTCTTTTCATTTTGAAGACTTATTGGAAAGAAATAACACAAGTTTCACTAATGCAAAAAATCTTACATAGAAAAATGTATTACTTTTAGACCTGGATCATATTGACTTATTCAGAAAATTATTTTGATGAATATATATTTTACTGATTTATAATTAGCGAATTTAATGGAAGTTAGACAATGGCTGAAACTTGTGTGCATTTGGTATTTGTGACAGATAAGAGTTATAAATTAGAAAAAACGTTATTTTCTCCAAAATGATGATTAATTTGAACAAATCAAAGGTAGATTTCATCGAGAAATTGAGCAAAAACATCTCTATTCACCACTGTACATATGCGGCAAGCAAGACCGAATTTTTGGAACCCCAGACTCCCGTATTCGATGACTACGAGCAAATAATACTGTTATTACCTGATCCAACAGGCAGGAGCACATTCCATTTTCGATGAGCTTGTTCCGACATACTCTTCTTTACGTACATTCTTGTAGGTTTCCTTTTGCCTGCGTGTAGTGGATGAGTGCACGTTCTTGAGGCTCGCCAACACAACCCCAGTCCATAGCGATGGGATGGACATACTGTTTTTAAAAGAAGGTCAAGTTCATTGAAATTGAAGAGTCCAGCACGTAATAAAATGAGCTGCCACTCTTACAAAACATCCGTTCTCTCTAGATGAACACTAGACAGATGCTTTTTAATACTCTTAGTACATGCACGCAGACTTGTGTGGTGAATATTGGGTCGAGGGGGAGTAAATATGCACCGTACGAGAATTTCACTGACCCCTCAGGTTATCGTTTTTGGGCGATTTTGCATGGTCTTCTCACGGAACACGTTCTTAATATAAACAGCATAGTCTCGATTATCCACTGTTTTGATTTAATTATCAATGGCCGTTAAGCGGCATATAGGAATCTAATCCAGCCAACATCGAAGGCTAACCTTGACTTCGAGAGTTTATTATGGTCTGGATAAGTTAATTAATGTCTAATTGATAATTTAGATAACATTTCAGGCCTAAAGAAAGACTTTATTAAGCAGATTTTGCTAAGTGCATAATGCATGTTTAAGGATGATCCCTATTGTTTTTGGTGCATGCCCGACCGCCAGGGGCAGAGCCACGCCCATTTTTTATATGCCCACATTTTCATGTGGACGTATTATGCTGTCGCCCCTGCCCGTCCGCCTGCCTGCCTGCCTGCCCGTCCGTCCGTCCGTCCACAATTTGTTTGTGGACACTCTACAGGTCACAATTCTTATCCGATTTTAACGAAACTTGAAATATAGGTGTATCTCCAAAAGATCTCGGCTGCTTTTGATATTGGCATGTATCGGATCGAAACTTCATGGATTATGGCCCCTGTTTGTACGAAAAATCACGTTTTTGGCTTGTGGACCCTATAGAGGTCACAATTTTTATCCGATTTTGTTGAATCTTGAAATGTAAGTTTATAACCTAAAGATCTCGGTTTCTTTCGATATTTGCACATATCGGACCGTAACTTTCTGAATTATGGCCCCTGATTGTACGAAAAATCACGTTTTTAGCTTGTGGACCCTATGGAGGTCATAATTTTTATCCGATTTAAAAAACAGTATTATTATATCACCGTTACACCCTAAGGATGGCTGAGTTCGAATTTCGTGAAAATCGGCCCAAAATTGACAGACAAAATGTCTACCGTTCGTCTCAAATAGCGTAAAAATATGGTATATCAAGGTTGTGGACCCTATAGAGGTCACAATTTTTATCAGATTTATTTGAAACTTGAAATATAAGTTTATAACCTAAAGATCTCAGTTCTTTTCGATATTCGCGCATATCGGACCGTAACTTTCTGAATTATGGCCCTGATTGTACGAAAAATCACGTTTTTAGCTTGTGGACCCTATAGAGGTCATAATTTTTATCCGATTTAAAAAACAGTATTATTATATCACTGTTATACCCTAAGGATGGCTGAGTTCGATTTTCGTGAAAATCGGCCCAAAATTGACAGACAAAATGGCCGCCGTTCGTTCTCAAATAGCGTAAAAATATGGTATATCAAGGTTGTGGACCCTATAGAGGTCTCAATTTTTATCCGATTTTGTTGAAACTTGAAATGTAAGTTTATAACCCAAAGATCTCGGTTCCTTTCGATATTTGCGCATATTAGACCGTAACTTCCTGAATTATGGCCCGTGATTGTACGCAAAATCGCGTTTTTAGCTTGTGGACCCTATAGAGGTCATAATTTTTATTCGATTTAAAAAAAACGTATTATTATATCACCGTTACACCGTAAAGGAAGGTTGAGTTCAAATTTTGTGAAAATCAGCCCAAAATTGACAGACAAAATGGCCGCCATTCGTTCTCAAATAACGTAAAAATATGGTATATCAAGGTTGAGGACCCTATAGAGGTCACAATTTTTATCCGATTTTGTTGAAACTTGAAATGTAAGTTTATAACCCAAAGATCTTGGTTCCTTTCGATATTTGCGCATATCAGACCGTAACTTCCTGAATTATGGCCCCTGTTTGTACGAAAAATCGCGTTTTTAGCTTGTGGACCCTATAGAGGTCATAATTTTTATCCGATTTAAAAAACCGTATTATTATATCACCGTTACACCCTAAGGTCGGCTGAGTTCAAATTTCGTGAAAATCGGCCCAAAACTAACAGACAAAATGGTCGCCCTTCGTTCTCAAATAGCGTAAAAATATGGTATATCAAGGTTGTGGACCCTATGGAGGTCACAATTTTAATCCGATTTTGTTGAAACTTGAAATGTAAGTTTACAACCCAAAGATCTTGGTTCCTTTCGATATGCGTGCCTATCAGACCATAACTTTCTGAATGATGGCCCCTGATTGTATGAAAAATCGCGTTTTTAGCTTGTGGACCCTATAGAGGTCATAATTTTTATCCGATTTAAAAAACCGTATTATTATATCACCGTTACACACCAAGGACGACTGAGTTCGAATTTCGTGAAAATCGGCCCTAAACTGACAGATAAAATGGCCACCCTTCGTTCTCAAATAGCGTAAAAATATGGTATATCAAGGTTGTGGACCCTATAGAGGTCACAATTTTTATCCGATTTTGTTGAAACTTGAAATGTAAGTTCATAACACAAAGATCTCGGTTCCTTTCGATATTTGCGCATATCGAATTGTAATTTCCTGAATTATGGCCCTTGATTGTAGGAAAAATCACTTTCTTCTTAGCTTGTTCTCTATCCATCTCTCGAAAATGTGAGCGTATCCTGCCTGGCAGCCGCTGGTTAACTATTATAGTTATAGTGAAAACTACCAGCTCTTTATCTAAGCTCCCATAATGTATCTTTAAGAAGTGAAATGGTAGATTGAATTTTCACTAGCTCAGTGAACAGCTACGAGATACTATTACTAATTCGTTCAAACGAAATACTAATTAGTTCACGGAATAATATTTTGGGTGGTTTTTTTTGTTTTTTTTTAGTTTAGCACTAATGGGCCTTCGTAATCAATTATATAATGTGTATGTTAAGCGTTTCAACATTGTACATGTTAAACCGCACAAAGTGTGTGCATGCCTTTCGTGTCTTTTACAGAGCACGATGATCATTAAAGTAATGTAAGTGCAGCTGATGATTTAGCCGTTTTTAAACCACATGTGTCATGTTAATAATTTCTTTTGTGATTTGAGTTGGCCCTAAATCATGTCTAAATTAATTTCACATTGCATGTTAATAGAGATGGACAGAGGACTCGTATAAGCTATAATTTTGATCTTTTGGATAGAGCAATAAACTATAATATACCGTGATACGGAAGAACAATCAGTAATTGTTCTTCAATAAGTACATGTATGTGTTATAGTTTAAAGCTATAATTTGCGATGAACTTTCTTGGCCAACACCGGAATCGAAAACGGGGCCTCCAGGTTAGGAAGGCAACACCTTACTCACTGAGCCACCACTGCTTCCTTTGGTTTTTGTATTTCACACGTTATGTTTTACATTTCGTTATTTTGTTATATTCCACATGTACACGTAGTTATTTTTGTATTTCAGATAAAATTGATGAACATTATTATCTTTTTGAAAATTTAACTACTCGTCATTTGTACAATTCCTTGTACCCCAATTCCAGCTATGAATCATTCGCTAATACCAACCTTTCTTGCTCAGTATTAATCACGAGTCCAGTCACCTATGAAGTTTTTGTAATGAATGGAGGAGATGGAGATTGTGTAGGTATTCAATTAAGAAGTGACGATGGTACTGACTTATATCCCACAAACAGAACAACTTGCAACTACGACCTCACTTCAGACACAGTAACCATCGATAAAAACTTTACCCTTAATTTGTTTACCAACGACACGCTAGCAACCGGCGTGAATGCTACTGTACTTGTGGTACTTAGTTCAAGTAAGTTTCAAATTTTAATTTATGAAATTTTATGAATATTGATCAAGTTCTACTGGATAATCTAACATATTGTATTAAATTTCATTTACTAGTAAAATGCAATAGCACCAGTTTGGAAATCATGATAGTATCTGCCAGTACCATTAATTACCGTGGTTAAATGATTTCCCTGGGACAGGAAGTTACTCTATAATAAAAATATTCGAATGAATCTCAAAATGTACTGTAGGCTATTGACAATCGAAAATGATACTGAATAATATAATACTTTGAAATGTGATGTTTATAAAATGTCATTTAGCTAGCCCAGTATGATCGTCTGACAAAATAAATCCACAAAAATATAAACCTCCATCCCGCAGCAAATTTTAGGAAGGATTGTCTGAGAACCAGAATGTATTTTCGTTATTTACTATTGTATAAGTTCACTGTACTCAATCATTGTTAAAATGTAACAACCCTTTTCATTTCCAAGAGTCTAATATAAATTGTTGATTTTATGAATGTTGATTTGTTTTGTGGAATGACAATTTGATTTGTCTTCATTACAAATTTAACGTGATCTGTGAGATATAACCTATTTTATGTTCAAACTAAAATTAGTAAGAAAGCTCAAAGATGCATTATGTAACAGCATTATCTGCCTATTGCAGGCCTTTATTTTGGCTTCAAATGTTATTGAGACTCTTATTCACGCAACAAGCATAATAACAACTCGCTAGACAATCGGATAGCCGATATTTAAATGCATTGAAACACGCGCATGATTTAACAATATAATTGAAAATCTAGACTTAGCTTCAATTGTCAAGTACCGCTGCTACGATAATCTTCAGTCATAAAAGGCTAGAATAAAGTAATTTGAACGGTCAACAATGTATGTAATTCATGCGACAATATAATGTTAAATATCTTGGACATACTATTGTTACTCACATGCGCATATATTCTGTATACCATAAGAATTTAAATCTCAATGGACTATTGGTCTAATGTTTACATGTAAAATTTGTTCATGTTGACAATGATATTAAATTGGTATTGTAGAAGATAACTTCACTATCTGGTGTCTAGGATACCCAATAACAAGTAAGTACAACCACACATCATATTACTTTCATTTCTCCCCTTTTCCGAACTAATTAAGAGGACTTTTGTTCCACCCTAAACCCTTTGTCCTGATTTCCCAAGTCATCCATTTAATTGGTTTTGCTGTGGTTTTCTGCAAACAAATAAATTTCAGTATTTATACCAGTCTGAATCGGCATTATTTTCTATAACTTTAGCCAGTAATTAGGCTAAAAATACTAGGAAATAGATACTAAACATTTTATCGTATTTATATTGACATTGAAATGGCTTTAAATATCCATGTATCATAGACTGTATATAGATGGTCCAAAGTTCTGTCCAATCTTTACCCACAAACGCCACTAAAAGCCGATATGGGATTGATGATTGGGATTTAAAAATACCAAATCTTATATTTCGAATGCATTTTCATTGTGTCGCGTTCTTACTTGTTTACTGTAAACATCCAATGAAAACAAAGTTCTAGTCATGGCTAAACAATGTCCACTGGTGTATTTATAATCTCACTGAAGTCCTGTGTATATAACCCTGGCACCATCAGCAGTTCTGAATATATGATATATCTTATGTAATGTACAAAATGTGATTTTAATTAGATTGACCCCCATTGGTTGCTTTTGCTTAAGTAGGATATATTATATGTTCATATTTGTAGACGATATAACTTTTATAGAATATTTACTCCAGATTATTCCACACCCACAAATTAATTTTTTTTTAAAACATGGATTTGGGCCGCATGGTCTCTTGGTCTACAATAAATGATGTTTAAATTTTATTACATGCAACCACCACAGCCACAGTTCCAACTACTACAGTTCCAACCACAACAACCGGTCCAACTACTACAGCTCCATCTACAACAACCGGTCCCACAACCTTACCGCCAACGACACCACCGCCAACAACTACAACTACACCTCAACCCAGTCCAAGTACAACACCAAGTGAAACAGCACCAACCAAGGGTAAAAATAATTAATTTTGACGTAAAAGAATTGATTCGGTAGAGTGATTTTGGTTTTTTGGTTTTTATTTTGTCAATAAGAAACAAACAAAATTATTATGAATTCAATATTATATCATCGTTACACACTAAGGACGACTGAGTTCGAATTTCGTGAAAATCGGCCCAAAACTGACAGACAAAATGGACGCCTTTCGTTCTCATTTAGTGTAAAAATATGGTATATCAAGGTTGTGGTCCCTATAGAGGTCACAATTTTTATACGCCCACATTTTCATGTGGACGTATTATGCCGTCGCCCCTGTCCGTCCGTCCACAATTTGTTTGTGGACACTCTACAGGTCACAATTCTTATCCGATTTTAACGAAACTTGAAATATAGGTGTATCTCCAAAAGATCTCGGCTGCTTTTGATATTAGCATGTATCGGATCGAAACTTAATGGATTATGGCCCCTGATTGTAAGAAAAATCACGTTTTTAGCTTGTGGACCCTATAGAGGTCACAATTTTTATCCGATTTTGTTGAAACTTGAAATGTAAGTTTATAACCCAAAGATTTCGGTTCCTTTCGATATTTGCGCATATCGGACCGTAACTTTCTGAATTATGGTCCCTGATTGTACGAAAATCGCGTTTTTAGCCTGTGGACCCTATAGAGGTCATAATTTTTATCCAATTTAAAAAAACGTATTATTATTTTATTACCGTTCCACCCTAAGGACAGTTGAGTTTGAATTTTGTGAAAATCGCCCCAAAATTGACAGACAAAATGGCCGCCGTTCGTTCTCAAATAGCGTAAAAATATGGTATATCAAGGTTGTGGAGCCTATATAGGTCACAATTTTTATTCGATTTTGTTGAAACTTGAAATATAAGTTTATAACACAAAGATCTCAGTTCCTTTCGATATATGCGCATATCGAATTGTAATTTCCTGAATTATGGCCCTTGATTGTAGCAAAAATCACTTTCTTGTTAGCTATCCATCTCTCGAAAATGTGGGCGTATCCTGCCTGGCAGCCGCTGGTTATCAGATTTTGTTGAAACTTGAAATGTAAGTTTATAACCCAAAGATCTCTCTTTCTTTAGATATTTGTGCATATCGGACCGTAACTTCCTGAATTATGGCCCCTGATTGTACGAAGAATTGCGTTTTTAGCTTGTGGATTCTATAGAGGTCATAATTTTTATCCGATTAAAAAAACGTATTATTATATCACCGTTACACCCGCCGTTCGTTCTCAAATGAACACAGATCACTAAAGATTTCCCCATTGACTCCAATGTTAATTCTCGTATCTTAGACCGGCTCTAACTTTTTCCCAAATTTTCGTTGGGTAGAACGCTTTCTACCTAACCAACCTCTCAACTCTTGTATCCTTCCGCATCAAAATTATGAATATTCACCAAAACCTGGCAGAAAATGTATTTTCAAACCCTTTTCCTCGATTCTACACCAAAAAGTCAACAAATATCGCCATGCAAAAGGGGGAAAAAGGAAAAGGGAGAGGAAGACTAAAAATAGCTTTGGCCCTTGTTTCGTGGGTGACGGCGTAGTAATATTTGGTGATCTGTGTCCTATATAGGGGTGAAACTTCAGGTATCACCAAAAGGCCTTTTTTATTTCCTACCCATGTGTTCTGGCAACATGCCGGTGAAAGAAAATCAAAATCAAAGAATAACTGTAAAAATGATGGCCCTTTAAGTACACATGCTGCTTTATGTACACTGGTGCATCTCAGGTCCATAGGCCTTTTGTGCTAAAATTTAAAAATCTTTCTTATTAAAGGCAGTATCTGAGTTCTGTGAAAAAATTAGACAAGTTACAAAGAAACTACATAGAAAACACTCATAATTTGGAATTTTTTTCAAAAATATACTATTCAAAAAAAGTAGGGGATATTTGATTTTGGGGGCATAATACTAAAATATGCAAATGACTACGAAAAAAGTCACTATAGAACCTAACAGAAGAAACATTTCCAGTTACATGTGACGCCCAAACGCACGAATAGCTACCGCATGGAATGCAGGTGATGCTTGGGATCATCATGGGGGTCCAACCCAAGATTTGCACGACTCTGACTTTGAATGTTACAGTCATTGTGGCATTGAATTCCAGGGTGGAAACATCAGTTTAATTGTTTTAGTGACCAGAAAACAAATTTTGATATGCGTCGGCTTACCCAAAATGAAAGGTTACGTGCCCTTGGCATGCTACAGATCGGCACAACACAGGCGGTTGTGGCGCGGACAATGAATGTTTCTCAGTCTGTCATAAGCAGGCTATGGTCCAGATACCGTGATACACAATCTGTACAGGACAGACCACGCTCAGGTCGACCAAGGGCGACAACTCAAGCCCAGGATCGATTTATCCGTACCTTGGCCTTGAGAAATCGTGTCATCACAGCAAATCAGATCAGCGCTCGTCTTCAAACAGACACTGGTGTGAGAGTGAGTGATCCCTTGTTTGAGAGATCATCACATTCAGGCAAGACGTCGTTGGTGTAGGGATCGTCAACACTGGGATAATCGACGCTGGAGCAATGTGATGTTTTCAGTTGAGTCAAGGTTCACTGTTGATTTTTTGGACAGACGTAGGAGGGTGTGGCGTCGTCGAAACGAGCGCTTCCAAGACGTTAACGTCATCAGACATGATCGATTTGGGGGTGGTTCTGTTATGGTGTGGGGAGGCATCACTGTTGCTGGAAGAACGGCTTTACATGTTGTTGCAGGGCGTGTTACAGGCCAGTACTACCGGGACAACATCTTGGCAGTCCATGTTGTGCCGTTCGCACGACGTCATGGCCGCCGTTTCATCTTCCAGGATGACAACGCAAGATGTCACAGGGCCAGGATCGTTACAGGTTACCTCCAACAACAGAACATCACCACATTACCTTGGCCAGCACTGAGTCCCGACCTCTCCCCCATCGAGCATGTCTGGGACATGCTTGGACAGAGGTTACGTCAACGTCAACAACGTCCTGCCAATGTCCAAGAACTTGCTGCTGCGTTGCAACAGGAATGGGACAATCTGGACCAAAATGACCTTAGACGTCTCATTAGGAGTATGCCACGTCGGATCAATGCTTGTTTGGCAAACAGAGGAGGATTTACCCGTTACTGACTTGGTTGTGATGCTGTGGTAACTTTGCTGTTTGACCCCGGGTATCATTTTACCCTTATAATGGTCAGTCTGTGCCTTACTTAGTCTAACGATCATTTGGAATAAATCGATGAATGTGAACTTCATTTCATTTTGTCATTTGTTTCTTCGTCAGTTTCATTAGGTGACTTTAATAACACTTAAAAATCAAATATCCCCTACTTTTTTTGAATAGTATATAATTTTTTACTGCCATGTGAATAATGTGATGAAAAATGTACAAAATTTACATGTAGCATCTCTCAAAATACCAATAATTTTCCACTTTTTTAAATATCCGGACGGACAAGAAATATATTTTTAGAATCTGTGGACAATATGCAAACAGAAAAAATGCAAACCAGTTGCAATGATTGTAATATTAGAGATCTATACTGAAACATGTATGCCTACCCCCTGAACATGCCACTGATTAAATTAATCTAATCTATGGTTGCAGAACTTACATTACCAAAGGAATCTGTCTAACAGCTATGTTTTACCATCCCTGGCCATATTTGGTCTATGATCACCCCTCTCTAACAGAAGGGTCACAGAATACACAATTTTCACAAATTTGGGAATATTTCAATGTTTCCAACATCTCAAACCTCAGAGGCATTTTACAAATTTGTATTGCAATCCTTGTGCTGAAGCAAGATGTCTGGAACTTTACATTAATTTCCTGAAAAAATGAAGTCAAAAAAGTAGTCATGACAGAGTTGACAACATAAAAAGAGCCTGAAAAGGAGAAAAATTAACATTTTATTGTTTTATAGGCAACATAAATGCAGCAAACACCACAAATGCTGGATTTTGATAAGAAAATATTGAACATTAAACTGACATTTACACATCTACACCAGTTTTATATCTGGGTCAGGTTTCATTGGCCTGAAATGCCTCAGAGTTCTACGTTTGACTCTGAACAAATAACACTATAAACCTCAGAATACCTCGTTCGGCATTTCTGTCCAAACGAGGCAAAAATGTGTTAAAATTTTTGCCTCGTTATAGCGAGGTAAAAAAAATACCTCGTTATGTCTGGATTTCCAAAACAAGGTTTTTTAAATTGCCCTGTTTTGGAATGAGGTATTTTGTTCAGATCGAGGCTGGGTAAAATTACCTCGTTTACTAAACGAGGTATTTTATCTTAAATAATTATTAGCTGTATTTGCTATCAGCAAATAAAGCCATACACATAATGGTCGGACCATCACGTGAAAAATTTCAGATCTACAAATTAGATTATTTATTTGGGACATAATATATTGTTCATAGTTATGGCTTACTATACTGGGGTTCTATCGTGTAAAATAAACGCTTCCCAAGCGAAACATAACATAACAATGTCACGTGACAATATTACATATGGCTGACAAAGGCGTTCTTTGATTAGAGGGATGTTGTTTGTTTTGATTACAAGGCGACAAACTATAGTTATATAAAACAATCTGTATTTATGGGGAAGAGAGAATTAATATTCCCAATGGAAAGAGATTTTTTTTTTACAAAGAAAGATCTTCGGATTGGTAGTTTTGTTCCTTTGGCGGATTTGTGGCGAAGACAGTAAACAATTCGATTACTTATACTATGGTAAACTTTTATAGGGTATTAAGTTACATTTATCTTCTATACTAATATTTGTGACTGTCGTTTGTCTGTCTGTCTGTCTGTCCCGAGGCTGAAATTTGGTGTATATGTGTAGTTCGGACCGGGGAATAATACAGGCTAGGTGGCGTTGGCCAACTCCTTCCGTTTTCGGAGTTACGGGCAGCACCGGGTCCTCCGCTAGTAGGCCATATTTATATTCGCTTCTCGTCAAATATCTGTATTATGATACTGCTTGTGAATTATACATATATCAGCCATCGCATTTTCCATAACTTCAGTGGCAGATGCTAGTCAAAACTAAAAGTGGGGTGTATTATATATTTTATTATAAAATTGTAATAAATATCTTACATGAATGAATACAATAAAAAATAAAATCTACAATTTACAAAAGTACAATAATGTTGCGATTGGACGCCCTACAAATCCCTGATTGACTAAAATACATGACACTAGAACAATATTTTGTGTCACTCATCAACTAATTCTTCCAAATCATCTAACTCTTAATGTGTCCAAATCGGAAAGCCTAGTTGACTAGTTTCTTCTGTAGTATGGCAGTTTTTTTCTATCTACCGGTATTCAAGAAATATAGCAGACAACATGACATCGCATTTCACATCACATTTAACACCACGTTGTACATCACATTACACATCACATTGCACAGAATATCTGGATTTAAGTATATAATTGGCAAGTAATGATTGCCAATTAATAATTGAGTTATTCAGGAATGACCATTGAATTTGCCCGGAGCAAATCTTACCCAATTCACATTTATTTATTTCACTCCACCATTGGTTTGCCGCAAAGTCGTCAGTTGTGTTCATGATCATGGTTTAGTTTTATTCGTCTAATCTTCTGTCTAAAACACCATTGTTCTATAGTGTACATGTCTGACCCATGACCCATATTACACACAATTAATTTGGTGTGGTTCCTTTATTTTATTTCATTCTATTGCCATATCTTTTTTGTAGTTTTGTAATGCATTTTTAAAATGCTCTTCCTGCTCTGGCTTTTTTTTTTATTATTTTATTGTTTTTGACTAGTCCTGTTGTTGATGAAATAATGTTTTCTATTTTTGTCCATAACAAGTCTTTCACATTGAGATATGGTTTTTTGAAAGGATCTTCACTGAGAACGCGTACCTCTGACTCCTTCATGTCGACTAGTGCACGCGTCTCAACTACTACCCCTTTCAAAAAAAACATATTCGCCACCCCAGTATGTTATTACTGTATCCCCATTGATAATGGAACTGCCATCCCATGCCTTTAACTGAAAAAAAGTGTGTTTAGGAACTTGTTAAAGTTAAATACAAGCAGGTTATTTATTGAGTGTCACAAGAACAAATAAGAATTATAAAGAATTTACATTCAAAATACTTAAAACGGTATCAGATGTTGCAAAATTTAACTTTCGTCGTAATCTGGTGGACCATGTATACTAAAACAATTATTCATTATGTGAACGTAGCATTACCAATTTACTTTTTTTTATATAATGTTATCAAATGGTTAGTTTTGCAGAGCTTGACTAGAAACAAATATATTTATGTACATCTCGAATATATTTAAAACAGCAACAGGGAATTAAAAAAAGAGTTTACTCTTTTATTCGATGTAAATAAGCAAAACCAAATGTGTATATATATTATATTATATTATATTGTGAATATGATAAAAATGTGGGTACTAACACTATATATCTTACAAAATAAATGTTTAAAAATAATGTTGGTAAAACATCACGTATAAAACCACATCCTTAGTAAATGAAACTAAGATATAACTTACATTCATAGACTGGCTTTTTCTCTTATTTTCTTTTTTTCCGATATCCTATTAAAGAGAACAAGACAAACATCAATTTATTTCTTCAATTCAAACGAGTGCCGAGTCCCAATACTGTCAACTTAACTCGAAATAGGAAAACCTACACAATAAGGCGGTATTTATTATTAAAAATTCTAACTTTGTTAATGTCGTGCTTTCGCCCAAATGCTCAATTCTTTTGATGTTATTTCTAATTTAATTTTGCTTTGAAAAAAGTTTAGCACTGGCAAAGCTTTATTTTATGACTGACATTATTAGTTTTACCCGTGTGATTTGCGCAGGGCGTCGTTCTTGTATTGCTATGACCGTTTCTAGTCGTTCGGATCGGACGCAAACCGTTGATAGTTGGCCGATTTGAAATAGGAGTAACTCGTACCGGGTCTAAGCCACACAGTGTGCTGTGGTGGAAATTTAGCCCGTACAGCGACGCAACCGCCTAGTCTTATTTCCAATTCCAACTGCCAAGGGTTCTCGTTCGACCCAAACGATCTATTGTCCAATCATTCAACCAAACGATTTCATTACGATTGTTGCCGTGTAGAAAGAAATGTTTGTTCAAAACATATAACGCGTCAGTGAAGAAAACATTTTGCGTCTTGGTAATAGAATTAAAATTTACGCTAAACAAATACAGAAATTAGATTATACAGTGTCTTAATTTTGGAATTACATGAATAGAAGTTAAAAATTAACAAATATAGAATTTTGAATCTAATATACGGCGGTTTCACTCTCTATTATCTGTCCTCAATAAATTAATCTAATACAATTTTCTTTGTAAATGATTTATAAGTTATGTTTACTTACATTGCTTAATTCCGTAAGCACCGTTGCCCGTGGAGGTTCTTCTGGCAATGTTTTCATATCTAAAAGATAATTATAACATATAATAATGGCTGCTATAAACTTAAAATAACTATCAGTCATTTCTATCATTCTGTTTCAATTTATATTTTGAATATACAAGTACGGCTGAAGCTTACCTCGTGAAACTTTGGTTAGTAGATTTGTATATAATCTAACTATTGGGACATAGGCGTCAAGCTCCTGTAACGATAACAGTTTACTATCTTAGTCTTTTTAAACAGGCATTATGTATTACTTATATAAAAAGATGATCGTTCTTGCCATAATAGTTTATAAATTGATTGAATACATTAAAAATTTCAGTCAAATTACTTTATTCTCCGCGAAGGATATTTGACAAGAAATAGCCTTAATTAATTGTTCGTTCCTGATGATTTAGAGTTGTCGGGTACCATAGAGCCACGATAATAAACGAAGTATTGATAGGTCTTGCATAATTCATCTTTAATTCATCCATAATTATATGGATAGTATTGACTATAAATCAAGAATATCTAACCAATTACAGGTGTCAGATATATTGGGTTCCTGACAACTAAAAATAGTTACTGTACCTTGCTTTGACCAGGAATAACATTATCAAGGAATTCAACACATCCCGGTCTGTGGCATAAAACCTGAATTTCGGCGTACATTTCGTTATCTTCGTTCACAACTAAAAATATAGACAGGGAAACGGTGTTTAACATCCATTAGCAATTTATGCTAATGATCTTATTTAATGATCTTCATAATTCAAATTCTGAGAACCAACGTTTATGATCATATTTTACGGGTACTTTCTCAAAGTGAGAATATGATTAAATATCTTCAAATATCAGTATTATGAATAAATAAGGGCGATGACTACTTACACTCCTCACTCCCAACGGCCAAGACTTTTCCTAACAGAACCATAGTGGTACCCATGTTCAAACACACTTGATCACTGAAATTATAAAAGTCTGGAATGTTTAATATTGATTGAAATACACCTGTCAATAACTTGATTTTCGACTAAGGATATATTTATAAAAGCAAAACCGAAAAGTATGTGTGAAAGGCGTGTTTATAGTACCTTCATTTGAAACTGGGTGATAACCGTTTAAAGAAAAGTCAAATTTATTATCATTGGCGACGCGTTTTCAAACTGCAAGTTTGGCGACCAATTACCACAAGCTCAATATTTCGAATCTAAATTGAAATACATGTATTTTATTTCCATACAGTTTGACAATTGTCCTCTATAGCATGGGACATTTTCTTTAAAGTAATCGTCTACAAATACGCCACCATCTTGAAGAAAAAGTGGAAATATTAATATTACTAAATGGCGCCTATATGCTAAACTTACCCTACATCTACCGAATCTGAATTTGAAGGACTACTGTTATACTGGCTGCGCAGTCACTTTCATCTTTGTTAAATTTATAGCCTATTTCTCTATCTCTCTCTCTCTCTCTCTCTCGGGTAAACTTTTAAAATCCAATATTATTAATTTACAAATAAACATTGGTTTTAAAAAAGCTTATATCAAAACATCTCAAATTGGCATTGTGTTGCATGATATAGCACGATTATTAGATATTTAATTAAGAATTAATTAAGTCAACATTCTCCAATTATGAGTGAGAGTAAATCAAACCAAACTGAATATAACAACAATGTCTTCCCCAACACGAACCACGTGATAGATGATGAATTGGTAACAACGAATCAATTAACATCTAAATATTGTCACCAAAAATGGCTCAGCTCTAAATTTGTAAAACCTATATTTGTTTAAATTATTAGGAAATTCTTTAGGGTTTCTGGTGTAATTTTACTGTCATATGGAAAACCGTTTTTTGTATTTTTAAAAATCCTAAATGTATTGATATAGATTTTAAAATTTTACATAATATATGATCAACGGAAAAGCTATTTAAGATAGGTAAAGTAAGTGACGAATATTGCCCGGTTTGTAAATTAATGCACGAAGATATTCAACATGTACTAGATGTCAACATTAAACAGATTTTAAACTTCTAGTTCTAATTAAGTATATAATGAAAATAAATATAAGTAGTAATGAATTAGGCACTGTAATTTTATTTGGTCTCCAGCTGTCAAGTAAAACCCTACCAATAACGTTATGTAATATTAGTATGTGTACTGTACGATTAGCTATATATAATAAATAATATATACTGCGTACACATCTACTAGGAAAAAAATGAGAGTTCTAAAGATTTTATTTTAGGCTTTATTAAGCCTCCCGGGTTAAATGATGAGATAAGCATCGATTTTTAACTTTAAATAACAGAAACAGAAATCTGTTTTCAACGTACATACGCAATTTTAACCAAATTAAGAAACATTTGTTCTCACTATGAATGTATTGTGATGCAAATATTTGATGATCTATTTAAATTCTGTGAATGGACATGTTCTAAGAATTAAAAAAGGTAGTGAAATCCACAGGCACGTGTTACAGTGTTTGGAATTTATGACATTTCGGATGTAATAGTTTCAATAAGTAATCCGAATTGATATTAGATATGGTGAATAAATTTGCATTCAGAAATTAAATGCATGTCCTTTCATCCCCAAATCGTTTGACCCCGGACTGTTTCAACCCAACCTACTTTTTTGTTTGGGTTGTTGCTTCGCGGACGGTTTGATCCCCTGTCATTTTCTAGCATTTAATCAGTCATGTGATTGAGGTATATTTACATCGATTTAACGTATTGTTAAATACATTGTTAAACACTTAATCAATTGTTATGCATTGCAAATAAATGTATTTAATCTTGGGAGTTGGAGTTGTATTTACTAATCAATAGGTAGCCAGGTCGTTCATGTATTGTTAAATACATTGTTAAACACTTAATCAATTGTTATGCATTGCAAATAAATGTATTTAATCTTGGGAGTTGGAGTTGTATTTACTAATCAATAAGTAGCCAGGTCGTTCATGAAGTCAAGTAGTAAAATTAATTATTTTGATCCAAACTTAGAATGATTCCAAAATATGTGAATAAGTTCAAATTTATTTACCGGTAATAACTTTGAAAACGCAATATTTATCATGTGATCCATGGCGAAATTTTCATATGGTTTAAACAATATTTTTATTCATAAAATATCATATATTACAGTTTTTTAAAGATAAGATACAAAAACAAGCTAAAAGCTTATATAAATTTGATTCATGTTTATGTTATTTACTTTTGATATTTCAAGAATATGATAATGTACTTGATGACGAAATCTGGGACCAGATTTATGGCTGATTGGGACAACTACAAAGCTCATTCGGACCATTACTTAAATGACGCGAGTATTTAAAATATGTTTGCATATTTTTGATAATAAGACAACTATGACAATAAATAGAGTAATTAGTCACAATAAATAGTGTAATTAGTCACAAATAATAGTGTAATTAGTGAATGACGGCTTAAATACAAATGAGCTAAATCGCAGAGAAGACGCTTCACATTCTTGGCTGATTGGGACCAGATTTCTTGGCTGATTCGGACCATGATCGGACCAATGACGAGAGTGTTTTAAATATGTTTGCTTGACAATCAAATTGTAACCCAATATCAAATAGCCTCATATCAGTATAATTACTGCAACGAATGCGATATTTTGTAATGAATGAAGTTGACAAAATGACAGACAAATTGTTCTTTGTATAATATTTTAATTAGTAAATATCATTTTATTTCATATAACGAGACATTTGGTGGCGATTCAATTCCTTTACAAACCAATATTTTATTATTTAGTAGTGGCCGAGACAGAGACCTTCCTGATCTAGACAAGTGTTGAATAAATACACTAAATTGGTTGACAAATGTGTAAAATTTTCTTAGTTATATACACATTAAACAAAGTTAATTAAATCAAACTTTATAGTATAAAACTCCGGTAGCAATATACAAGACCCTAATCACACCATTTATTGTTAATTAATGACAAGCCTAGTAATCCAATAAACAATCAGATCCAATCACACAAATTCTCCTCTCATCCGAGCGCCCGAAGGGCGCGATGGAAGAGAAGGATTATATGAATATATATAGCCCGAGGGCTCGAGGATTTATATTGCATATTTCTCATTGATCTAAATAAATATGTATACTAACTCAACATTCAAAGTCTAAAAATAGCACAATTGCATATGCAGCACTGTGTCAACATACGCCTGACTATAAATAAGAGGTAAGGCTCGGCTCTAGTTGTCTCTTTAAAGTTTTGTTGGCAACCATATATATAGCACTGGGAGGGCTAAAGGGAGGGTATATAAATCCTCGAGCCCTCGGGCTATATATATTCATATAATCCTTCTCATCCATCCCGCCCTTCGGGCGCTCGGATGAGAGGAGATTATATTCCATTATATGCCCTTTGGGCATCTCCGATTTATATTGCATCATTGAAAGGGTTGTCAACAAAAAAGAAAACAAATAGTAGGCTGTTAAAATTTATCCATATAATTAAAAAAAATGTATTATTTCCTGTAGAACAAAAAAAACTTATCATTGTTCCATGATACTGTTTTAAGATTGTCTGAAATAGAGTATCCAGAATTAAACGATGCAGATCAGGAAGTTGAACGAATTCAATGAGGCTTATATTCAGAAGTATCAATTCCTGCCAGTACAATGGTTTCTTAAGCCAACGGCCAATGGTAGATGGCGTTACTGCTCTGAGTGTAATACATGTATGAGATACAATAAGTTCTGAAGTTAATTCAAGATAATACTGGAGAGTATATCAGTAAACTAATCCAATTTGACCTGGTATAGAGGAGAAGATTGACAAGAAATTTTCCAAACTTTCACTTCCTCACCTTATAGCATTGCCATAATCTAGAAAGCTCTTAATGTGGCACCTTTGGACTGTAGCTAGAGCCAATAAGTTCACTGTTATATAAGTGAGAAGCTTCAAAGATATACCTTCTAAGGCAAAAAAACAATTTAATATAATAGAAACACTCCAGGTTGCTACAAAAACAAGATTTTGGAGGATCAAGATTAAAAATACCTTCCAAAAAACGATAAATAATGGCATGGTTTCTGAACTTCCTGCTGCCTGAAACATTCAGAGTCTGAACAATTGCTGATCTGTAGGTGTTAGCAACACTATAGGAATACTAGACAACGACAAATCACTCAAATAATTTGCAATATTTTCTACAGTGGGATCCAAAGGATCAATTTGTTTCCGATCTGCCTAAAAATTCTATCGTCTCAAGGCCAGATTATACTGTTTGTTAATTCCTGGTCTCCAGGACCTGAGAATAGTGTCAATAGCATGTTGTGATAGTCCTCTAGTGAACTAAACGCAAGAGGTCCTTCCGTAGAAGTAAATGAATGGGGTTAGAAATTAGCATTGCTAAGAGTCTAGAATACCATACCGGTATTGGCCATCCTGGCACTATAATTGTAGCATGGTCTCTGATTATTTGGTTGAGATACCGGTACTTGGCAACTACACTGAAACTTTCAGTGAGAAGAGGAAGATGTATTGGTGAAAATTAAATCAACTCATCTTAAATACATCATATTCAAGAGCCAAACAAAATGGATCAGACTGTCAACTTTACAACTTGGTAAATAATCTGTGGTGTAAATAGATCTATGTCCGGTACAGATAAAAGATTACATACCCTCTGAAAAATGTGCTTAATCAACTTCAATTCTGTGAAGTCAGAAAAATGTCTAGATAATGCATCTGTTATGCTATGAGACATAATTGATCTATAGATATTTAGCAGATAAATATTTCTAGAAGCACACCGGTACCAAATTTGTTTGCTTATTTTAAAACAATTTTAAATTCCCCAATATTATAAATATATGATAATTATAGGATATAGTGTTATCACATTGAACAAGTATAAGCGTATTAGATAAATTGCTGCACAATGATGTCCATCCATAGAAAACTGCCAGCA